TTGGCGCTCTATGATTATGTGCTAGTTATACTACTGTTTTTGTGTCGTCTTATCATATTTCTGCATTAGCCTCAGACAGAAAAATGTCCCGTGTATTTGAGTCCTATTATATTCTCTGTCTAGTAGACTAGATTCTAAATTGTGTCTGAGATGTAATGGATTTTGCATATTCGTAGAAGTTTCGTCTTTTGCCTATTAACATCTAATTTGGTGCACTAAAAAACTACACTGTAAGCCACACAGAAAAACTTTTAGTTTCGTTTTTGTGGTCCTGTCTTGTGAATTATGATCACGTTCGATTTTGTTGCAGGTTAAGGTTTCATCATGCCAAAGGATTGTGTTGCTTAATTACAACAAGGAGAAGAAGCTTATTGATTTTCGCCATTACTCAATCAGGTTAAGAATTGTTTTTTTTGGGTCTCGATTCTTTTTAAATGTTCTGTTAGCTGTTGAATTTGAATTACCGATGAATTCTTGGTATATGTCTCGTCGTTAATTTTAGTATATGGTCATAATATATTCACACATGATTATGCTTTTTAACTTTAATTGAAGCCATTTTCATCATTTGTTTTCTTTCATTTCTTTCTCCCTTGTTTCTTTCTCCCTTGATGTTTATAAGAATTTGACAAGTCTGAGGCATGTCGTTAATGTCTACTTTTCAGGGAGCAATACTTCAAACAATAACCAGAAAACTGTTGCACAGAAGAGCAACAACACGATAACAACGATGAAGATGATGAGGAAAGACATGATGATGATGTCTAACAAAGAGGGATACAACTCATATAATAATATTTTTTTTTTTTTTTTGGTACAGGGACCTTCCGGTTTACGGATCCACAGGGGAACCGACTAATCCGGAATCGAGCCGGGTAGGACCACAACTCATATAATAATACTTTTTGACTGGCTATTTTGTTGTTACGATGCACATTTTTATTATGTAAGTCTGTTGAGGAAATTACATCCTCCACTTATACAATCTCAAAATATTACATAATTACATTTCCTATATAATTATTTATAAATTAACTAAATTTGTTATATTTATTTGCATATATGCCTAAAAAACTGATTCCTATTTATATGGTACTTCTGATTCCTATTTACGCGTAACTTCCCATCAAATTACTTCCCAAATCTTCCACTGGAAATTAAAAAGCATCAGAATCAAACAATCCAATAATGCTCATATCAGGTACATCAAACTGGGGTTTCAATGAATTTAAATTTACATGGTGAAGATAATTGATTTCATGTTTTTTTGGCCTGACTTATCAAATCATGAAGCGCAAAACAATAAATTTTCTTGGCCTGGCTTATCAAATCGTCGAATCTGAAAAACTGATTTCATATTATTTTTTTTCTACCGTTTAGATCAATGATTTCGTCTGGATTTGGTGTTTTGTGTGTGTGATTTTTTCTACTTTTGTATGGTTTATATTCAATATATTTTCAGTATATTTCTGAGAAGTTGCGGGAGGTTGAAGAAGATGATTTCTGAGATTTTTTTTTTCGTTTCATTTATTTTGGAGTATATGTACAGTACATTTTCGGTTTTTTTTGTTATATGTATATCTTCGGTATATCAAAGTGTATATCTGTTGTTTTTTTTTATTATTTTTTTTTCTATCTTGTGTTCACTATGAATTAGTATATTTGTTATGTTTTATGATAGAATATATAACGGTTATATATATGGTATATATGTTAGGGTTATATGCTCGGTTACAGAACATTGTTCAGTTTTGGTATATGTCGGGTATATATGTAAGGTTACATGTCTGGTTATGTTCTGTTTCTGGTATATTTCTGGTATATATGTAGGGTTATATGTTTGGTTACATAACATTGTATTGTTATTGTAACAACATGTGGTCATGCGAAATCAAAAAAAGGATTTTGTTTTTTTTATAACAACATCGTAATTCACGGTGGAGAGAGAGAAGATGGTTTGGTTTGATAAGGTAACTGAAAGCATGAATTACGGGGAGAGAGAGAGAAGATGCTTAGGCATCAA